TAAATAAATAAATAAATAAATAAATAAATAAATAAATAAATAAATAAATAAATAAATAAATAAATAAATAAATAAATAAATAAATAAATAAATAAATAAGATATCAGCGCGGGGAGGGGGGCGATGATAACTTCCTCAATGGCTCAAGGGGGCGTTTCTTTCAAAAAGGTTAAGAACCACTGTCCTAGAGGTCCCACAGGTTTGGGGGGGGGGTTGAGACAATTTGTTTTCTCCTGTTTTGTTTTGTTTTTTATTACAATTTTGGGAAGGTGGGGAACCCTCAGAAGGAGGTGCTCCTAAGTGCGTGTCATGGAGTCCTAAAGGTGTAGTATCTGCTGGGTACAGACAGTGAGCAATCCAAGGAAGGAAGAGATCTGCACTTCATGGAAGTTAAAGATAGTCCCAGGAGCCAAGAAGGCAGGTTGTAGACCCCCCACCTTCTCCATTCAAAAACTACAGTGGACAGTCAGTCCTGACAGCATCCATTTGAGCTGTACCGACATCCTGAAACACCCTGTAACAGTTATCCTTTTTAACTTTACAACACACTCCTATACCATGTGAGACAATGAACACCTGCACTGCAGCTTTGTCAATAATGATTGCAATGAGCTATGGGGATAAATACCTTAAAGTTCCTTAATTTCTTCTGAGAACAGTCCTTAACTCAATAGGTCACGGCTTTAAATTACGTTTCCGCACAGAAACTACTATTACTGGGGTCTTTTGTTCTCGGTTTCCCCGATTTTACAGCATAATACATATTTTCCCATTCCTGAGAACTTTGGGGCAATGTAGTTTTTGAATCAGACACAACGGTGCTGCTCTTACTCAGAAACCACAAGAAGTTGCTTGGTGGACACATCCTTTTACTGAAACACACGCACAACCCACCATTGTTTTTTCTTTTGTGCTATGAGAGATGTCATTTTAAAGTTTTAATGCATTTGATCTGCTTTAAAGAGATGTGGTGCTAGCCAGTTATGAGATCTTTGCCCCCTACAGAGCAGAAATGTGGGCCTTCTAAAAAGCGGAGGCGTCGGTTTACCTATCATGCAGTACTAAGCTACTGTGGTCTGTCTCAAATGAACTTTTCATGCTTGCAAAGATTTCAAACGATCACTATTAGGCAGCACAGACTAATAAGCCTCTGGTCGTTGAGCCATGTCAAGAGATTTTAAAGCCACAAATGTCAAAAACTGCAACATTACCAGGACTTAATCACGGAAGAGTGAGATGATCTGTTGCCCACGGCCCAGTGCCATAATGGGTGCTGGATATACTTACCCGTATTTTGTGTCTCTCTCTGGTGCTGACTCGTAATGCCAAGGTGGAACCCAGCAACAGCGGGAAACAAAAGCACTCCCCATGGCGGCTTGCGAGACTGCATTCCAAACACGGGCTGCACAGGGCACCACAAACACCTGTCATGAAGCACAACCACAGGGAAGCTGTGATCAGCCAGTGAAAGTTGCCTTCAGCATTCATAGAAGCATCTGCCTGTAGGGGATGTGTGTGTATCACTATGTCCAAGTTCTTCCCATAGGGTAGAGTCCTCCATAAACCCATTTTCTGTAGACCAGTTGCATGATTCAGATTGGGAATGCCCTGTTGACCAACTGCAGGCATGGAGAAGATGCACTGGCTAAAATGTGACTGCAGAGAGGACCCCTTTTCATTAAACTGCCCGGTGGATACGGTAAGTTGGACAGAAACAAATGGGGCACCCATGGAAAGCCAGCTGGGGTTTCACAATCACATCCTTTACATCAGTGGTCCCCAACCTTGGGTCTCCAGATGTTCTTAGACTACAACTCCCAGAAGCCTTCACCACCACCTCTGCTGGCCAGGATTCTGGGAGTTGAAGTCCAAGAACATCTGGAGGCCCAAGGTTGGGGACCACTGCTTTACACCACAAATTTATTTGTGATGAAACTCATATGGGGTTGCAGAAAGGAACACTTCCCAAACATCTAATAACATGACCTTCTGTAGCCCCCCAATTAAGCCACAAAATGCAATACTAGACACGTCTCTAATCTGATGATACACTATTGGGTTGCAATGAATATTGAATACTATTTTTAAATGCTTGAGTATTCACTGCATTTGTTTTCAGAGAAGTTGTAAATGCCCCAATATAGAGTATAAGACTCCCAAGGGGTACTAGGCTAAGTGGCTACATAAGACTTCCGGTACTGGAGGCTCAGCTGCTGGCTGAGACTATTTGATCCATCTTCCCTATCAACAGAATTGCGGGGGGGGGGAGGTTTTCCAAAAGGTGAAGCCAGCCCATAGCACTGATGGGATTGTTCAACTGAATGCTGTATCATCATAATCCCATCCCTATATCTCTGGGACAAAGACATGTAAATTACCTTCCATTTGAGAAGACATGTTTAAGGTTGTAGAGAAAAGGGGAATTTAATATACTGGTCATTTCTGAGCTTCAAAAATTAGTTTTTCAAACTATAACTCCCAGATCCCCCACCCATAACAGCTACTGGCTGAGGGATACTGGAAGTCACAGTCCAGAAAATTTATTTATTTATTTATTTATTTATTTATTTATTTATTTATTTATTTATTTATTTATTTATTTATACAAGAGAGATAACCAGCTGCTTCTTCATGGGCATTATGATGTGGCATAGAAGATAGCCAGTGTGGTGTAGTGGCAGACTTGGAATTGGGACCTGGGTTCAAATCCTTATTTGGCTATAGAAACTCATTGTATGTGGCAATGATAAAACCACTCCTCAAGTATCTCATATGCCTTGAAAATCTTACCAGGGTTGCCACAAGTTGGACATGACTTTGGGGCACAGAATGGCAACAACCCAGAATATCAGTTTTGCTCAACCTGGCAGAGTAGATCAGAAATGCCATGAGTTGTAATGCAACACACCTGGAAAACAAGTGGCTTAAGGAAAGCTCACAGAGAGAAGGCTGGCCCTGTCCTGCTTTTTTCTCTTCCAGCATCTCAGCTCATTACCTTAACAGCAACTTTTAAACAACGAAACTTTTCAGTCACCAGCAACGTCTGTTTTAATAAACCCCTGTTTCTTCTGTGCGCACCTGAGAACACAACTTTGAAAGAAGATTTTAAATACATTATTGCAACTCTTACAAATTCTCTTATCACTGCAGACATCAAACAGGCCAGTTGACCAGTTGCCTCCAGTACTCACAATGGTTGTGATGCTGGACACAATCGCTCCAGTGGGGAGTGGTTGAGTTGTCACAGGCTCTGCTGGGCTTTTGCCCCTGAGGGGGGAAAAAAGAAGGAGGAAATAATAATAGGCACACCGAAATCAAAGGGATCCAGGAATTTAGCAGCCAAGTAGCTCATGACTCAAGGAGTCCTTAATCCAAAGGAGGCAAGCTGAAAGAAATCCATTATTTTAGTGCCAATTTATTTTTGTTTATAGTAACCATCCCTTTTTTGCAGATTTCGTTTTATCTTGCTTGTCCTCGTGCACAGCCTGCCACTCGTGAAACAGAAAGAGATGAAAATGTGCCTGCTCTTCTGTGGCCTTTAGTCTCCAATGACGAAAGAAGTGATCAAAGAAGTGATCCATATTAGTATGTACTATCTCTGCAGAGACCTGCCCATTTGTAATTTTCCTCTTCCATCCTGAAACCCAGGCAGCTTTTTAGAGTACAATTCTTCTGTCACCACAATGAATTGTCTAAATCAGTGGTTCTTAACCTTTGTTACTCGGATGTTTTTCAACTGCAACTCCCAGAAACCCCAGCCAGCACAGTTGGTGGTGAAGGCTTCTGGGAGTTGCAGTCCAAAACTCTAAATCATTCATAATTTTGAAGGAAGGAAGAGAAATTGGAAGTGTCCCTACGAATTTTCCTACTAAATCCCTGGCTAAATGGCATTGCTTACTATCTTTCAAAGTATCTAGGCTTCATGATTTTTACCCACTCTCAAGAACACCCTTTCATCATCCATACCTATCACAATAAGATACACCATCTCTAAGATATCTAAGAACAAAAGGAAGAGAGGGGAATAGAGAAGGCACACTCTGGAGCATATCAAGCCGAGATTCCAAGACATTTGGGGTCCCATTTGCACCCTGCAGGACACAGAGCAGAGGAGGAGGGCAGTTCCTTTCTGTATTAGTTCACACAATGACCAGTACAGCTGAGGGGACTTTTCCTCCAGTTCAAGCCAATCAGCTTGCTGGATGGCTAAGGCCAAAGGGAGGGTTCTCCTGGGTGGACTGGATAAAAGTGAGCTTCCAAGGTGGACACTTAGATGTCACCCTAATGGAGGGCAAAAATTGTATATTTTGCATTTTTAAAAAGCACACACAAAATTAGAAATGATGACTCTAATTTAAACAGAACCTAAGTGCCTTTCCTTTGGGTTGAGTAGACTTGCATGGCTGCGGAGCCTGCCCTCCAGGTGCTCACTATGGATGGGCAACATGAAGGCCCCTCCTTATAGTTCTCCCTGTTAAAATCAGGCTTGGACTGGACAACCCTTCAAATGAAAGAAATCTTCAAAAATGGGACTGTATCTAGGCATGCAGCCAGACTAGAAAGCTCTCTCTTTGGTCTGCATTTCTATATACAGTATTATTTTTCCTAAGCACACCATTTCCTCCTGTTTGGGCATCACCTTAAGGCAGTGGTCCCCAACCTTGGGCCTCCAGATGTTCTTAGACTACAACTCCCAGAAGCTTTCATCACCAACTCTGCTGGCCAGGATTTCTGGGAGTTGAAGTCCAAGAACATCTGAGGCCCTAGGTTGGGGACCACTGCCTTAAGGAATCACAGGGCATGAAAGCCTCAGGGATATGGCCAGGTCATTGGGGCAATTGGATTGACTTTGCTTCCAGGTGGAACCACGCAGCTGCTCCTGCCCACATGCCCTCCTATCACCTGGAGAAGGGTTCACCTCCAGATGGCAGCCTAAATAGCAGGTGGGCCCTCTGCTGCACCAAGGCTGCACCAATAGGGTGCCTGTATTTCTTTTCTAACAGGCTCCATCACTCTTCTTACCACTAGGGCTACAAAAGGCAGTTTTCTATGGTTTGGTTAAGTAAGTTTAGACTCTAGATTTACTAGTTTTGTCCATGTCAGTTACTTAAACTCTGATGCACTAAATTTACCTTTCTCTTTCTTCTCCACCCGCCCACCATCCCATGCTTCATAATTGCTTCTTCATTTCTAATGTGTCAGAGAGGGAAACCCCAGAAAACAAAACCCGATTACCCAATACCAGAAACATAAACATAAACAAGTTTAAAAAGCACTTCTGCTTCCCCACTTTAATTTAATTTCAATCAAAACAACATCTTGATTACAGGAATAAAATGGAATTTGCTTCTGGTCTCCACACATACTTGGGACTAAGTAGCATTAATTACAGGGGGAAATGATCTATATTTCTTGACAAAGTGACAAGATAAGCAGTTGTAACTATACACATGCCCAGCTGTCTCTTCCCCAGCTGTACTTTTCTTTTTTAGGAGGAGGTTGAAATGAGGTTGGCATGATGATCAGCATCATCCTCTGTCAATCATGGAATGAATGGTGCTGATGCCAGGCCAGTTTGCCCGTGACCCCATCATCTCCCTCTTTCTCTAGGCCATGACCAGGAGAGGCGGTGGCAGATGACCATCACTTCTCCAACACTCTTAAACTGCTGTACTGCAGCCAAAACTGTGCTCATGACCTGGGGATCAATCCCAGGTAGCGGCTCAAGGTTGACTCAGCCGTCTATCCTTCTGAGGTCGGTAAAATGAGTACCCAGCTCAATGGGGGGGCAATGTGTAGCCTGCATAATTAACTTGTAAACCACCCGGAGAGTGCTTGAAGCGCTATGGGGCAGTATATAAGCAGCACGCTTTGCTTTGCTTTGCTTTTAACCGGGTTTACACACACACTTGCAAACTTTATTTGAATCAGTGTATCTATACCCCACCCCTCCTCAAAAGCTTTCTTATCTTTTTTTTAAAATGAAGACAGGATCTTTCAGGAGCAGATTCTTGTATGTGGGGCATCGGTGTGCAGAAACTGCAAGAATGTTAATAAAAATAAGACTGAACTCCTCTGGTACTCCTGAAAAATAATCTTTCTCTCTCTCTCTCTCTCTTCCCCTGCTGAATTGTCTTTTTTGGCACCTTCATCCAACTGCAGGATCTCAGTAAATCACAATGGTTAAACTGACACCCAGTGCCCCACAGGGACTCTCCCACCTTCCAACAGCACTGGAAGAGCACATTCATCCCCAAAGCAGTACTAAATCAAGGTAGTAGCTGCCATATATGCCAATACCAATAAGTTTAGGTCTTAAACTATAACACCCTGGAGGGAACCAGTGTACAAAGGCCTTGGTGTTTCTGAACATTAGCTTTGTGCAAAACACACTGCAGTCCAATAATGGGTTTAGTGATATTTCAGCTCCCTGTGATAAAATATGTCTGTGTCAAGGGGGCATCAGAATCCGTCAGCCACAGACTTCACTTTTGTAACCCAAACAGCCAGAACAGGTAGCATTGTCCAGCCATAAAATACTGCACAGAACATGTCAGGGTCCTTCAACCCTCTTGTTCTATTTTTAAGAAAGTGCCCGATCCTTTCTTAGAAGAAATGTTTGTAATGCTACAGACACAGGCATTGCCTATCAAAGATTCAGAGAGTCCCAGTGCATTACTGTGCTTAGAGCGCCAAAGCAAATCCAGAGGACTGTGGTTCAAATCCTCACTCTGCCAGGAGTTTCTTTGAACTTTAGAACTTTAGCTATTGTAGTTTAGAGGATTGTTACAATGCTAAAATGAGGAGAATTCCTTGGAAAAATGGCAGAATGAAAATACAATGTTGGGTTCCTCTAGAAATGACATAATTAGAGTCATTAAAATCAGTGAGACTAAATTTAGTGATGACTAAGTTATGCTCCAATGCTTTCAAAGGGACTGCTCTAAACATAATTAAGATTATATTCAACCCCCTCCACATAATCTATTAAAAATTGGCAATGCATTTGTATAAAGTAGTATTACTTTACATTAAGAGCATTATTTAATTTAACCACATACTCTTTCTGCAGAAATGTGGAATTTTTGTACAAAAAACAATTTTCATAGTGCTTGTTCTGAAAATTGTAAGCAGAAATCCACCAGATTAGTGACAAACAAGACCAACGAGGACCCACAGGCCTTCCAGGGGGGGGGGTGTCTGCATGTGGGGCATGGCGTCTTCAGAAGTGACAGCATCCTAGAAAATGCACTTGGTTCAAAATCCTGAAGAGCTGGTTCTTTAGGAAGTCCTTTGTTAGGAGAATATGGGCAAGTAACCTTTTGGACTGCAACTCTCAGAATCCCAAGGGTTCAATCAGAAACTTGTAACTTGCCACCAGACCTGCAATCTTGTGCATTGTTGCTACTGAAAATGATGAGTTGTTACGCTGTCAGTGTTGCCTGTTTTTATGGTCTTTAAAACTGTCTTTTTATAAGAAGATCTTCCTGAGGCCCAAAATTCAGGGACTGAAATAACGTGTATGTGTGTGTATGACTCATTATCTGTTGTGTAATACCTGAAATTCCGACCCAAGCTGGCCACTGTCCATCACCAATAAAGAAGAAATTATGATGCACACACAGACACACAAAAGAGGGTGCGTATTTGCCTAAAAAGTTTGTGTGCTAATCTGTAAATGTCATGCAACATTGCAATTATTAGATCTTGAACAGAAATAAATGCACCTCACCAGATTCAGGAAAGTGATTTTTCTGTCCGTTCTACTGACCAGGTAATGATACCTGTTGATTGGTGGTGTCATGGCTCCTCTTTTCACATGGTTCTTTATCTTTCAACTGGACTCGGACCGGCCAGCCTTTCAAACAGGGGATGCTTCCAAACAGTGAGTTGCCCTAGCCAGCCACTCTGACAGACCCAGCCCAGTTTCCTAAACACACGAATAACTCTTTAATCTCCTACCTCAGGCTAGACAAGAGATCGTGACAATTTTGAGATGCCGAGAAGGAATGAAATGGTGGAGACTGCACAGCATAAGACCACTGATTTTTCTCAGTCGCAGTAAAACAGCAGCTAATAAGCTTGTCCATTAGGAATGAGGAGTAAGACAGAAGGTCCAGTTTTGACTGAAAAATAAAACAATGGTTTCTAGAATGTTGACATCACAACATTCTCTATTACTGTGTCACAATAAGGTTGAAATAAACCCTCCCACAGATCTACTCCTATGGATTTCAAACATTCCAACACCATCCATTGTATTAAAGGTGTTTTTCTTCTTATCTGAAGACAGGCTTGGTAAGACTCTATCTCAGTCAAAAGTTATCCTTGGCTGCAGTCTTTATTCAAACATGATGTACGGGTCTCCATAATGTTTGAATAAAGACTGCAGCCAAGGATAACTTGTGACTGAGATAGAGATACCTCCCTCTGAAATTTGGGATGTGAAGTTGAGTCCTAGTCCATGACTTGCCCCAATAGCAGCCCTTTCCCAATAACATATAGCATGGTAGCTCTGGAATTCCAGCTTATTGGTATCCATGTGGGTATGACTTGACATGACAGCCCTGCGGGTTAAATCGCACAGCCTCTGGACTGCAAGGTTGTAAGATCAGCAGTTTGAATCCATGCGGCTGAGTGAGCTCCCATTGCTTGTCTCAGCTCCTGCCAACCTAGGTTTGAAAATATGTAAAAAAATGTGAGTAGATAAATAGGTACCACCACTATGGGAAGGTAATGGCATTCCGTGTCTAGTTGCGCTGGCCACGTGACCATGGAAATTGTCTAGGGACAAATGATGGCTCTACGGCTTGGAAATGGGGATGAGCACCGCCCCCTAGAGTCGGACACAACTGGACAATTTGTCAAGGGAAACCTTTACAGGCATTACTTTACCATTCCTTTATGCTGCATGGTACTAACAAGAGTTAGCTGAAGTGCCACTGCCATTGTCTGTGAAAAATCTTCTGCCAAGAGCAAGTGCTGCCTTTTAGGAGTTTCTCTATCCTCACCACCATTGGACCTATCCATTCTCTTCTGCTGATGTGGCCATTACTCCTGAAGAGGGGGGATGCCTCCTAATCCAGTGCCTCAGTTGTGAACATTCCTCCTTGGGTGACCTTGTCAGGAGTCCAGGCTCTTAATGGGAGCCTAGGCTCCCGATGGCATTGCTCTCTGCTCCTCTAAGTCACTCAAGCTTCCTGACTACATTAAGGTGTGCATCCAAGGAGGAGGCTAAAAAGTGGTATCCCACAAATACCTCATTTGACTTCTGACGAGTACAATTGAGAATCCAGTATTTGTAGGGAGAAAGCTGGGAGGGCAAAACCTCAGGATGAGATTGCAACAGAGGTTTTTCAGCTATGCTCAAAGCAAGAGAAAGAACAAGGGAGTGGTATTGTCAGTACAGGGAGATGATGAAGAACTACTAATGGGAAAGAGGGAGAGATTTCTTTAACCTATCACCACTGGAACTATCAATTCTCTTCTGCTGATGTGACTCTGAAGATCCAGAAGAGGGTGGATGAATCTGTTTGGGTCTTATCCTTGACAATTTTCCTTTGTAATGGAGTCTAGCCTTCTGACAGGATTGCTGTCCCTTGACACACTCAGACACAGTGTGTGCATTCAAGGTTGAGCAGGTTCTAGGCTGAGCAGAAACGTTCAAGGCGCACATAGTGTAATACCACCTGGCAATCTGTGGAAACAGCATTCTGGATTGTGGGGAGAATTCTTCAGATGCTCGACCAACCATGCCTTGAATCAACTTTTAGATTTTCCCACTCTGTGATGGAAAATGGGAGGTGGAATTAGCATCCATAGACATGGAGGAAGTCTCTAGCCTACCATGGTTACAGTTTAATGACACCTTCACGGGGCTTTTAGATGTAGTAATTCTACCCCACCCCCACCCACCCCAAATTTATCCATTTGGTTTTAGCGATTCTCAGGCCACTAAGTGCCTACCTAACAGTGCCATCTCCTGGAAATGAATCAGAAGGGCAGAACCATCCTTTTGGTGTCTGAGTGGATTCTCAGGCATTAAATAAAGCAACTGGTTTACTCCTCGAAACAGTCAAACTGCCTGCCCATTGAGCAGGCAGTTCAGCAGTTATTCTCTCTGAAGAAAAGCTGTCATTGGGGACTTCTAGAAGTACTAATATTATTTGCTGCTCTTTCAGTCTAAAACCATCCTTCTCTTTTCGGGTGGCAATGCAAACACAAGCTGTTAAGCGACAGCGATAACGAAACCGTTTCAGCTCAGCTGCTGGATGGAAGCCAGTCTGCTTGTCTTGTCGGCGGTTTGCAATGCCTCAAGATTTTTTTCCCTTCATTGGTTTCCAATTCTCTACAGCAAGCAGAGGCTCATGCCAAACAAAGAAAAGTGCTGTTGCTTATGGGGGGGGGAATGGTTTCTACCAGCCTCAAGCCATAAGCACTATAGCCTGCCGCTCAGCTTATTTGCAGGGCAAAAACAGATGCAGTTCCAAGTAGATGTGTATTTCTAATGACTTCCAAGGTAAAATGAAGCCCTAGAGGCAAGACCTGGCCCTTCCTTTGGGAGCTTGGGTGGAATAGGGACTGCAAAGATTGTTCGGGAGCCAGGTAGGAATGGCTCTTCCATTGTGGCTTCTGCATCTAATCCTCTATGGTCTATGATGGAGGAAAACTATATTTAGTTTATGACAAGGTTTTGGTGGAACAAAATTATACCAAAATTAAGATGCATCTGCCATTCTGCCCTGTGCTAAAGATCATAGATCTTGCCACCATTATTCATGCTTCATTCAGTGTCTCCTAAGCTGTGCTTCAACTACAGCATTCATCAGTTCCAGCCAGGATATCCATTATTTATCTAGACGATTAGAGAAAGCTGCCTTGCTTCATTTAGACTGTACTATGTATGCCCTTCGCCACTTAAAAACATCCATGAACTTCCATTCCTGAGGCCATCTAGCACCTGCACTTTACCAACTCTACTGCAACTTTCCCCACTATTTGTCTCCAAGCCTAGGTTAAAGCATCTCTCTCAGCCTTTTAAAGCCCTAAATCAGTAGTTCCCAGCCTAGGTCTCCCGATGTTCTTGGACTTAAACTCCCAGAAGCCTTCAACACTAGCTGTGCTGGAAGGATTTCTGGGAACTGTAGTCCAAGAACATCTGGGGACCCAAGGTTGGGAACGCCCACCCTAAATACTTTGGGATTGGATAGCTGAAGTGCTACCTGTACCAATGATGACCCTGCCAGACCTTCCTTCTTCAGAGGAGGCCTTGTAGCGTATCCCACATCTATCCAGGGCACAATTGGTGGGCCTGAGGGGATCTCCCCTACAGTAGCACCTGAATTTTTTGGCACCTGGCATTTTTCTCTTGCAAAAGCTGGGATGTACTTGAACATTAAGACTACTGAAGGACTACACAGCTTTAATGCTGACAATAAGGAAACTGAAATTGTTCAAGATTGTGTATGCCTTGATTCAATCATCAAATGGAATCTGCAGCTAAGAAATGAAGAGGACCGAGACTCAAAATGGGAGATATGAAGGAATTAGAAAAGGTAATTAAGTATAAGGACATGTTGCTGGAGACCAAGTATTCCTGATATGTATGGTTACTACATATGGATGTGAAACTGGACAGTGAAGAAGACTGACAGGACCAAACTTGGTTTGTTTGAAACACAGTACTGGAGGATAGCTTTGCTGATGCCACGGACTGCCAGAAAGACAAACAAGCAGGTCTTGGATCAAATCAATCCTGAACTTTCTCTGGAAGCAAAAATGACAAGATTTGAGGCTTTCATTCTTTAGAATATCATGAGAAGGCAAGACTCACTGACAAAGACAATAATGCTAGGAAAAATTGAAGGCAAAGACCAAATACAAGATGGGTTGACTCCCTAAGGGAAGCCACAGGCTTTTGTTTACAAGACCTGCAGTTGAGGACCTTTCATTGGATCACCATAAGTTGTAGACAACTTGATGGCCTGCAGTTGAGGGCCTTTCATCCGATCACCATAAGTTGTAGACAACTTGATGGCATGTTAACGAATCTGAATTCTGGGAGAATCCATCACATGAAATTCATGCAGCCACTCTAGATTTGTTTAAGTGCCAAATCAAAGCAGCTTTCTTTTTTCATCCAGACACTTTCCAGTATAATTCTATATCTTCTGTTCATAGTCAGCACAACTGCTTGCCATGATTTATAATGTCCCTTGTTCTATTTAGTGCTTTAATAGTTGTTTCAAATGGCTTTTATGACCATTTGCCATTTCAAAATCTGTAATGCCATTAGCAGCTTTAGGATCTCTATTCAGGAGCCAGGTACACACACTTTTAAATAAATGAAACAAGTCCACCAAAAAGAGAGGCAGTCGATTATCCTCCTGCTGTAAGCGACAGCAAGCAGACACACCTTTAGCAGCAGTGTATCCACTTTAGCAAACAGGAAAGAATTATGGTTTGCAATAAATATACCTTAAGTTGGCTGTTTCCACTGGCAACTGTGCACTGTGACTGCACAAAAGAAAAGCAGGTTGCTCTATAACCTGTTAATGACTACATGGCAGCTCTTGAACTGACCTGCCCCTGAGCTATTGGGGAACAAGAGGATCAGGAGTAACACAAGTTGACAAGGAATTCCAAAGCAAATTGAGGAGGGAACGGACACATTCTGAACAAGGACAAGCCTCAGAGGAGAAGAGGTGGAGCACGGAGGAACAATGTCCTCCTTTGATTAGAGATGGCAATTGAACTGGCCAGTTTGAAGCCTATATTTAGGAACAGCCTGATAGGGAAGATGTACAATACAAAATATGAATTAGTCACGAGCACAGTCTTGAACTGCAGGGACCTTCCTACAACTCTGGCACGGTAGCACAGAAATGATTATCATTAATATCATCTCTTATCACATCCTTGTTGTGACAGATGTACCGTTCTCTACCCACAATGCATTCTAATGACTCAGGAGCACCATTCAAAGAGAGGTTCAAAAAGTTGTCATGGTGTCGAGTACACTAATAATAATAGGAATCGCTATGCGCTGTCGAGTCAGTTCTGACTTAGGGTGACCCTTGTCAGGGTTTTCCAGGTTGAGAATTCTCAGAGGTAGAGATGGGCACTTCATGCAGTTTGGCTCAGTTCAGTAGATCGGACCC